TGTCTCTCACTTGTGTTGTCCCTGACAGGGCTTGTGCTCCACAGGAAAGTGGTCCTCGCTGCCTGCTGTTTGCAGCACACTCTTTGTGCAATATTCTTTCCCTCTTGGACAAGGAAGTCTGGGCAGTGATGCAGGTAAACAGTCTTCAGTCTCAATTGAGAGAGACTGCTGGGAGGCTGTTGTCGATACAGCACCAGCTCTGATTTTTTTTCACTTGATCCCGATTAGAGAGAGTGAGTTGAAGGTTGTGTCTGCATTGGCATGGGGTAGACAAGTTCCAGTTCCAGCTCTGGGATCTGTTTTCTTTTCTGAAGGATGCCACTTTTGTTCCCGTGATAAACTAAACTATAATGTATTCAGCCACTGCATGGGTCTGATCAAGTTTTAGGGATAACTTTATACCCAGTTAATCTTCATCGAGCAACAGTCAGCCAGCCAGCCAATGCTGCCCTTCCAAATGGCACAGGAAATCTATAGTGACTGTACTCTGCCACCTTTCCCCCATATCAGACAATGAGGATTTTTTGTCTCCACTTGTATAAAATGCACCTTTACTTTCAATCTCTGATGCATTTGATTTCATTTGAGTATTGTTTTCTTGTAAACAAGTTTTGGAGATGATGCTATTTGTCAGGCAGGTACTCTGGGAAGATGGCAAGTTCCACAATTCCCTGGCCATCCTCAGAATTGTTATTACCAATAAATAATTAAAAAAACCCAAACCACCAAACCAAAATGAGCTGCTCTCAGGAATTGGAGACTTTAACAGATAACTATGTAGACGAGGTTTTGGCAGCATGCATGACTTGTGTTTCTTCGACAAGGAAATGGGCAAAAGAAGAATAATTTGTTTTCTTTCACGTGAACATCATTAGGAAACATTCCTGATTGCAAAATTGCTTATATTTCTGTAGCTTTTTATAAAGTGTCAAGACTCTAGTCTTAAGCGTTGGTTGAGAGTTTTCAGAAGTTAGAGCTGAAATTCTGGCACATAATTTTAAGTGAGACTTCTACCTTCTGGCTGCAAAACAGGAAGATTACGTCCAAGTGACCTTCAGGCACAGGTACAGAACTTAAGATTTCCCAGCTCAGTGTATGAAGATGCTTGAAGGTAATGAGGACATGAGTAGCCCCAAGGGGTGTTAACTTTGTGCTCTGTTTGCAGCCACACATTTTAAATAATGCCTTTGTCTAGATCCTCTTCTCGTCATAAAATAGCCTGTGAAAGAGGTGAATAGCTACTGTACAATTCTATATGTGGACTGTAAAATCCGTCGTCTTAGATGGTAAGAAAGTGCAGATGGGCTCTCGGTCCTTCACTTCTTCCTTTTGTTTCATCAGTGAATGCTGCATACAGAGTAGGTGGCTGAGTCTGAAGCCTGTCTCTCTCCTGCTATGATACCTAATTCAGCTCCTCAGTCCTTTATTACTAGCCACATTTGCTCTGCCATTTAGTCCGTTTTCCCACGTTGTTATCCACTCTGCCCCACTGGCAACCAAAGGGACTAGACAGAGCGATTGCTTTTCAGACAACTTGGAAGAAAAAAAGTCTTTTATCTGTAGTCCTGCTGCTTGCAAACAAATGCACAATGGACACAATGAGACTGTTTGATATGTCAGAGGTCTATTTCTTTTTCTTGGAAAAACATCTAATGTTCCCCTGTTTAAACCAAAAGAGAACATACATTATCCGTGTCCTGCTTTCTATTTCTTTAAAAAAAAAAAACAAAAACAGCTGGTACTACTGCTTGCCTTTAGGAAGAGAGCATCAGGAAGTTGAAATATCAAATCTTGGCTCTACATGGTTGCCATGGTGATGTATAATTAACTAGGCTGCAATAATTTTATAGAAAGTAAACATAAGGAAATATTCTTGCTAATGGAAAAAATTAAACCTTAGTATTAAGTAAGACTGCAAGGACTGAAGATTACATTTTAATTGATCATTTGCAATTGGACTTGTATGTTTGCATTTGTATTGCAATTTGATCAAAATAGTTTCATCGTGTGGTCAGAAAGAAATTTAAATGAGTTTGAAAGAAATAAGACAGGATTCTGAGACACGTTATTGATGGTACAGTCTTTGTAAGAGATTGGTGTTTCATTGATTTGTGGGGATTTGGTTGTGAGGTTTTTTCCCTCCTTGTTGCTAATAGGATTCTGTTTAAAAACCAATACATTTCCCCACAACATATCCAATAAGCAATGAATAGAGAGAAGAAAGTTTGATTTGGAACAAATGGGAAATCAGATAAAGACAAACCATTCAATATTCACCTCTTGCAGCTGATAGGCAAGCACCTTATCCAAGTGGTTATGAGACTGATGCAGAGTAATTTGTTTGTCTAAATACCTTTCTTTAAGTGGTAATTGGTAAATGATCCTTATGTATTTTAAACCAAGATAGTTGAATGTACCTCTGGAAGGCCACACATGCCAAAACAAATTGATGTGCAGTTCCCCAGATCCATACAGCAGGACGTTTCATTCTGTGAGGTTTACGAGAGAGATGAGTTTAGGCGTGGGGTGCTATTGAAGAATTAAAACTATAGAACATTGTCTCTGAGATACTTGTGTGCTGAAATGTGGGTCAGGATAAAGATTATGTACTGTTGAGAATCGTATTCCTTGTAGTATCCCTCAAAGACACACTTTATGTGCAGCAGCCTGAACAGATGTACAGTGTAGGGACCGCTCCGTAAAACATAGCTGGGGTAGAAGCATGCACCTACTCGCCCCCCATGGGAATAGGATTAATCCTTTAAGAACTTTTGTTTGTTCTCTGTATTTGGCCATCTTGCTTTTCAGAACTTTGTTTTAGACTCTGAAGGATGTTACTAAAATCAAGACACCATGTGTACTTACGCCCTGAGAAGCTTTACTGTGCCTTATCTTCTCTTGATAAGATTAGTGTAATACTTTCTCTTCTAGAAAGCTAAGAGTGATAAGTGACCTTCAGCTTGTATAAAACTCTGCTATAAGTACTGTCAGAGCATGTGTTACTGATTAGAGCAGCAGTTCACCTGCTACATCTCTTAATAAAAATAATCCTATTGCATATTGTCTTTTAAGGCCCGTTATTCGTCACCTTCAAACTTACTTGGTTCTCCTGTCAAAATTTAACATCACAGTGCTTGTATGTGCACCATGTGCATTATTCCCACTGCCCTGAGCAGAAGACAGTGAAGGTTGCTCGCTTTGGCACTGCAAAGTGCTGAGCACTCTTGGCTTGTGTTGACTTCTCTGACGGTGGAGGGTATGCAAGGATTATGGCTCATAGTCAAAGCTTGTTTGCCATGTACTACGCTGAATAGAAAGATGCTGTGAAGAATGAGCCTGAACATGTTCCTACCTGTTCTACTGTAACTTAGCACGTTATCTTTCTACTTTCTGAATGGCTTGTGTTCGCTTAGGATTGCATCTTGTGATGAAATTAGCATTGGGTAGAAATACACTTCTTTCTGTCATCTTGTAATTTCTTGTTTTTCAGTTTGATTCAGTGAAACTGAACTTTTAGTTTGTGTGGCATAAAAATATGCATAGACATACCAATTCATTTCCAGTAAAACGCCCAGGTAGTTCTGACACATCGTGTCCTCTTTTCTTACTGAGCAGGACGTGGATTCCTGCAGGCTCCCTCATGTTTGAGCACTGTGTAAAAATAGCAGCTTCTGAAGTTACAGTCACTGTCAGATTATTGACAGAGGGATGGGAAGGTGTGGAATCTTGATTCAGAATACAAGGAAAAAAACCATACATCACAGAACAAGTGGTTTTGCCCATATTTGCAAGAAGAGTGCACTATTTCACCTGAGACAAGGTCTAAAATTATGCTTTCCCCTGTTTGGTGAGGCCCCATTGAGAAGGAGCCACTTTAGCAAAGCACCAGTGTTTAGTTTGTTCCTTAGCATCTCCTATGAAGCATTTGATTGTAAAATGAAAGCAATCCATCCTTTCAAATTTAGTTTTTAATATTTATTTGGCAGATCTGACCTCACAAGGGGGCCCAATACCCCAAGCAGCCACCCTTGCTGCTGTCTGACCAAGGAATAACCCTGGAGTGAGCTGTGAAAGCAGCTTCTTGCTTCCGTCTTCTCCGCAGGATGTGCGTTAGTTGTTGCCAAGTGCAAACACTGGTGTGTTTTCACACATTTAGATTCCTTTTAGGCAGCAAATTGTTGCAGATGCAAAGTACAGTTTTTGAAAATATGCTAATATTCAGGTAAAATTGGCATTCTTATGGTTGCTAAGAGCCTGTATCGAAATCCTATTCCACCCCAACTGCAGAATTGCTAGTGTCAGATAGCTTATGCGTTATATATCCTGTATATTACAAAGATTTGCTTGAAGCTCAGGATTTAACAAGCATAACACAGAAGGACTTTTGTACAAAGCTTGAAGAGTTAGTCCTTGGCCTTTGGCCAGGAATAAAGAATGCTTGCCCTTGTGCCATTTTGTCCTGTGCCGCTCCAGTTCTGGCAGCGGTTCTGCTTCAGTGTAATTGTTGGCACTGAAGCTCAGCTGAACCCTGAATGGCCTCTTCCTGCAAGCAAGCAGGGGCGCAGAGGTCCGAGACAGCATCAAAACTTCATATTGATCAACTGTAATAGAGGACTCTATTATGAGAACTCTTCATATCAGAGCCAAGCAAATTGACTACGGCGATGCAGTAGTAAAGTACTAAAAAAAGCCATAAAGAGTGTGAAGTAATTTTCAGTTTTTCCATGGGATAATGGAGAGGCTAAAAGAATAAGAGAACAAACAGTTCCTGTTTTGGACAGTCGCTGTTTCGGCTATCTATCTGCAGTTGTTGTTGATCTCTCCTTCCTATCTGTGCTAAGTAGTAGTAGAGTTTTTCATTCTCGTCTGGATCAGAGACAGAGCATAGTCAACAGCTTTAAGTGATAAAGTGTTTTTTATTGTTTGCAAAGGCTTGCTTACTCTTCTTTATTCTGCTTACTGTTCTTTAAAAAAAAAACTTTCCCATTTCATTGAGGCAGATTTGGAAGTCAAACCAGAAACTTCAGACTCTACTACGATGGAAAGCACTTTGTTGGGGAGAAACGTTTTGAGTCCATCCATGACCTGGTGACAGATGGATTGATTACTCTTTATATTGAAACGAAGGCAGCTGAATACATTGCCAAGATGACAATAAATCCAATTTATGAACACATAGGATATACAACTTTAAACAGAGAGCCAGCACACAAAAAACATATGCCAGCCCTGAGAGATGAACATGATGGCAAAGAGTCTACAGGAGAGGATGAGGTAGCAGAAAAGAGGGTAAGCAATTGTTAACCCACACTCTTTTTTTCTGTTAGACTTTTTATTTTGTACTTTTAACCCTCTCCCTCTACTATAAAGTGCGAAAGGTATCTTGTAGATATTTAGTCTACATATTTATTTCTAGTATTGCATTAATAGTAATATTTAAACTGGTTATAGGGTTTTTTAATGGTAACTATTTCTTACTGCAAACTTCTATGATTTGGAGGTTAGTTATTTATCATTGTGAGGTTCCTTTCTTCAGGTTTTTTCAGTTATAGATGTTACCGTTAAGTCACTCCTTTATTTCAAATGGGCTAAGAATATTTCATCTTAAAATTGTTTACAGTGGCTAAGACAACTGCCCTTTGGTCAAAAATTATATTTCTTAATATATTCAGCATTCCCCAAACAAATGCATTCCATAATCTATTCAGCAGTCTGCATACAATGACAGTAAAGCTGTCCACATTATAAATAAGCCTGTTCATTAAGATGATAAAATGTTAAAACATTTCACTTGGCTAAGTTCAGTCTGTCAGAAGCTGACAGTGCTATTTTTGGCCTCAGCCAGACTTATGAAGAAGGATTGCTCTCTTCAGAGAGTTGCAGTATCAGCTGAGAACTAACTGTGTCCTGGATTATAAAAGAAAAACGAACAACAAAAAAGTCTTAGAACCGGTGAAAATAGAAAAATTAAAGGAGGTTGGGAATGTACCAGGCAGACAAAGCAGCTGCCTGAAACTTCATTTGTGTGACAGAGACTAAACTTAAAGAGGAAACATAATGTAAATTCCACCATGTTAAACGAAATACTTTGTTTATTGAAAAGCTGACATATGAAAGTCTTTCTAAAGTGTATTTTTACATATGTGTAGGTGTTAATGCATGTATAATAGTCTGATATGCTCCCCGATTTCACAACCTTCAGAATTACATTAGGAGTATCTAATACGCTCATAGTGCTTAGAAGAAATGCTATCCTTAGTTGGGATCATCTGTTTGTCTTTCCAATCAGAAATATGTCTGTGATTTCAGTTTTTCTTGAGGTGGAGGAAAGGTCTCGCTGACAATTTCCAACACACGTGGCTATTACAGCGAAACTAAGCTCTGTGCAGAGTCCACAGAGAGAGGAGGCTCGTAGCTTTGGTCCTTCAAATACTTCTCTGTCAGAGTCTGTCATCCTACACTGAATTACTGAGAGATGAAGCACCCAGCTTAGCTCTAAGTATGAATCTTCGCTGCTATCAGATCATTTTGGCAAAAGAAGTACTGGTGGGCATCTTGATGCTAGTTGACCGTGTTAAATAGCCAGTTTCTTACCTGTTAGGTACCAGTAGTAGAGGGGTGAGTTACCAGCTCCAATTCCTGACAGCCACTGACTTGCAGTGTGCTGTTTCAAAAGGATTTTTTTGCATGTTATCATAAAGAGCTCATTACAATGCAAAGCCTGGGTAAAAATCTTCTGTAAGAGTTCTGGAAGTCACTGCTCTGGTTTTCTGTGGTGAAATTAACTCTTCCTGCATTTAGCAACTTTCAAGTGACAACTCTGTTCTGTCACAACATTTTTTAGACTGACAAAGTTTTCATAGTAAAGGGATTTCAATGATTATTAGTGAAGAACGCTGGTTTTTTTCCATAGATTACATGGTGTTATGTCAGACTTCTCAACAAGGTATGCCTATTGTTTTGAAACATTTTTCATGAAATAGCTCAAGAACTATTAACTATTTCTCACAGACTGAAATTTTAGGTGAAAAACCTTTAGACAGGTTAGTCATGTAATTGCAACATCTCACCCCATTTGTCTGGAAGTTATAGGCAACTAAAATGGCTTCATCTGCAACATAGTTCAACAGCAGTGGTATTTACTGGCCTGAAGCCCAATTTTTGAGCCTTTTCTCTTTATTTGTCTTGGAACCATGTTGATGTGGACACAATGAGGCACACAGACATCACAGTTGTCATGATTTAACCCCAACCAGCAACTAAACCCCACACAGCCACTAGCTCACTCCCACCTCAGTGGGATGGGGGAGAGAATCAGAAGAGTAAAAGTGAGAAAACTCGTGGGCTAAGATAAAGACAGTTTAATAGGTAAAGCAAAAGCCACGCATGAGCAAAGGAAAACAAGGAATTCATTTCCCGCTTCCCATGGGCAGGCAGGTGTTCAGCTATCCCCAGGAAAGCAGAGCTCCATCATGCATAATGGTTGCTTGGGAAGACAAACACCATCACTCCGAACATCTCCCCTTCCTCTTCCTCCTTCCCCCAGCTTTATATGCTGAGCATGATGTCATATGGTATGGAATATCCCTTTGGTCAGTTGGGGTCAGCTGTCCCAGCTGTGTCCCCTCCCAGCTCCTTGTGCACCCCTAGCCTGCTTACTGGTGGGGTGGGGTGAGAAGCAGAAAAAGCCTTGGCATTGTGTAAATACT